CTTTAAAAAATTTAGTTTAACTAAAATAATGTATTTTAAATGTAATGCAAATAATTACGAAAATTAATTTTAAAAAATGGACGATTTCAATGGAAGTTTCATTTATTATTTAAACATTTCATTTGAAATATATTTTAATGTTAATAATTTAAATAAAACATTGAAATGTTTTAAAGATACCAAATGTAATGCATTCAACTATATATCCAAGGAAGCGAGTGATCCAGCCACTGATTGCCAACTCTCTCATTTCACTTGCGATGTTCATCTGAGGATTGTATTGAAAAAAAATTATTGCCAAGCTTACAAGGTTAATTTAAACTTTATATTTTATGCTGTTAAATTATTTTTAATTTAATTTTTTTATAATTTATGCTTTTGCTGATCAATACTTTTTGCTAATAGTTAATGTGTGAAAAATTGAATTAAATTTGCAACGCAGGACGTGAGCCTGCAGACGGTAGCTTGTTAGTAAAAGTTATTATATTATTTGTTGGATTTAAAATTTAAAAAAGAAGAAATTAAAATATTAGCGTTACTTTGAATCAAAAGTAATTTAACATTATACTTTTTGAATACAATAATTTTGCAAAATCTATATTTTGACGGTTAAAACCCTTTTAAGTGTTTAAAAAAACATCGGAATGAAAACTTTTGATTTATTTCAAAAGTTTTTAAAATTGTGTCACTTAAAAACCATTTGTTTTAACTTTTTCAAAAAATAACTTACAACTACAATAAGCAACTAGTTTAAATTTGACCCTGCAACTTCCCATTCACCTTCAACGGTGGATTGTTCTACTCTTGTTCCAACTCACTACCTGACATCAACAATCCTTGTGCTTTCTACATGTGTCTCACGTTAAAATGTTTCCAACCGACCACAAAGCCTAACAAACATAAATGTTAATCGTCCTCACTTCGATTCTCATCTTCGCTAATTTTAAAAGAAAAAAATTTTTAAAACTTCCACAAGTTACACATAAAAGAGGAGCACGATTGTCTTCTAATACATAAAATAGTTGTTAGCTATTATAAGTTCATTCAAACAGCAGAAACGTGTTTCTACTGAATGAAATAGTCTAGAAAATGTATCAAATGGAGCACGAGTCGTCGTTACAAATTATTTTTTTATACTGCACATTACGTTTGATCATCATTTTGCATTAAGTGAGGCGAATCATAGCGTACTGAAAATAATTTGACTGGTAACCGCAATCATTATACCAATTTCCAGATGAGTAGGTCGAACCGCAATTGATGATCGTTATCTTGGTCAGGCGTTGAAAACTTCATGCCATTTTGTAGTGGAGCGTTCAAAACATCGAACCCGTCTCCACTGTATTCAGAGACGTGAAGGGAATATTTTTCAAGCTCCGAACTGATCTGAAATTGTTTCATAATTTCATTTCTTTGAAGTATTAAAACAAAATGCGAACTGCTTTTATGAAATTGTAAATCAGATTTCAGTTTGTAAATAATTTAACCATATGCGAATTAAAGAGATCGTGTTTTAATGTGGTTGAAACATTGATCATTGAAAATCACTATTTAGTTTTGAATGCAATTTAAAAACTTTGAAATGGTCATATTCATCGGAGTACCAAGAACTTTGATGAGAACTTCAAATTTCAACCTGTAATCAGCCGATGTCGTTAATTGGTGCATCTTCTCCAAGCCCAACCAGAAGTTTTTGTAGTAAGTTCCAAAACCTGTCTAAATAATAAAATTGGTTATATAATATTTTAATCAAAATATTTAGTTTCAAAAATCACCTTGTACGTATTCCAAGTTTGGTTGAAACTCTGCGAGCCATCAATCCTCTGCTGAATGACAATTCATCCATTGACAGACGTGACAGGAGTTGAGTTGGCAAACGTTGGAATGTCCAACATGATTGTTTGGTTGAAAGATCTGTAATCTGAATCCATCAAATTTATGAAAATATTTTCTAATCACTAAAAATAGTGGTATCTCTAAAATTTATTAGGGAGTGTCTTTTGGAGAATTCACAATTTGCACCAAGCCTAACAAACACTACACACGTAGTAATTGACATTCACTTGCAAATGAAGCAACACAGAGCCGTGCAAATCAACATGAAGAGCAACACAACGTTAACTTTTTACAATCATGTTACAAAATGTCAATTTGTCACAAAAATGTTAATTTTTGAAACCATGAGGATCAAGACAGATGGACAACTGCCTGTCAGCAGTGAGACACATGTAGAGAGCACAAGGATTTTTGATGCCAGGCAGTGAGTTGGAACAAGAGTAGAACAATCCACCGTTGAAGGTGAATGTGAAGTTGCAGGATTTGCTCAGGGTTAAGATGGTAATGTTTGCTTTTTCAAAATAATTAGTAAAATTTAAAAAAATAAATTACAATTATTGAAATCGCATTTAAATATTTTAAAATTTATCGTTCATTACTCGAAACAAATTAATACTTTCAAATAGGAGAATACGAATGATCTTATGGTAAGATAATCAGGTGGCAAGATAATTGTAATAAAAATTTTGATTTTGAGCAAAACGAAACATTTCATCTCACCTAAGATAATTGTAATAAAAATTTTTATTTCAAGCAAAACGAAACATTTCATCTCACCTAATGCCAGTTGAGCTTCGTCATCCTGCATTCACAACTCAAGATATTTACATAAATCAAATATTTCAATATCAATAATTTTACGTGTGAAGAATTTATGATCAGAAGTTGATTTTTGCTGAAAAAAAAACAAACTTCTAGCCTTATAACCCCGGCAATGAGTTTTATTCAGAACAATCTTGTGATGAACATCGCAAGTGAAATGAAACAGTTGGCAATACTTAGGTGGATGACTAGCATTGTTGGATACGTAGTTGAATGCGTTGCAAGTGATGTTACCATCAGTGGGAGAAACATAATGAGAACATTTGGAAGAACATTCCAGTGAGGATCGTATGTTGGTTAGTACTGTGGAAGGTTCGGAAGCAAAACACATGGGATTGTCTGGCTCTCCTATCATTCCATACTTCTTATCAACTGCTGCTGTTATTGCGTTGACTGAGGAAGATGATGAAATGATTACTAACAAAATGGCAAAAAACATTTTCCTTTTTTTCCTTAACTAAAGCTTATTTAACAACTTATTGTTTTGAATGTGGTAGAAAATAAAGAAATGAACAACTTTACTGCTTATAGCTACTTCTGGCATTCAGCGTTACTAAATACATTTCTGCAGAATCATAAAAACACAGCTCAACCTTGTTTATTGCATTTCTTATTGCTGCTAATTATTACAACTGCCAACATTAAAACAATGCGCCGAATTCAGTACATGTTCTTAATCAAAGTGAGCGTCTGGCATCTCTACCTTAAATTAACTAATCCCCAATATAATTTCAACACAGTGCATCATAGTGAATGTTTTTTTTGCATAATTTTTATTTTACTTTTTTCTTATTTCAAAATTTTTTACTACCTGCTCAGACATGTTAAATGTTGTCAGAGGGGAAATTTTAAATTGCTATACACAGATCAACTGAACTAAACATTTCGTATGCGCGTTCATTCGATCAAAGGTTCCAAGTACATATCATTTAAAATTTAATTAAAATTAGTGATGAAATATTTATGACAGGTAGGCTACATACAATTTACAGGAACATGATTTCATCTGTAACATTTTCATGTTTACATTTTCTTAGAAACATCAACTTTCTTTCCTCATTATAACTCTCCGGTGAATTTTACGTCAATAACGACATTGTAATGCTTAACGTTTAACTTATCGGCAGAATTGCGTTTGTATGAATTGTATACTTATAAATGAAGATATGTTAGTATATATACAATTATGTATATATATATATATATATATATATATATATATAAGTTTGTATGTGTGTGTGTATGTGTTTATGTGTGTGTGTTTATGTGTATGTGTGTGTGTGTGGTGTGTGTGTATTCATCTATGATCTACAAACTTATAAACTCTAAGTCTATTTCGCCTTATATATAAAATGTTTTCAAGAAATAATACATACATACATACATACAATTGTGTGATTGATCATATATAAATCACTTGTAGTGAGTTTTGTGTTCATGCTCGACTTTTTCAGTTACACACTATTCAAAATTTCATCATTTATGAAAGAAAAACATTTCAGAAACATTTGTGTGACTCTTGATGTTGCAAACAAGATTTAGGTTTATATTTAACGTAGCGTACTTTAAAATTTATTAAATTCCTAAATCGATATAAATACAAATCTATTTCCTGTAGAATATTTGTGTTGAATTCAGTCAACGATGTTGTTGAAGTTTGTTATTTTCATCCTGCCTCTCTATTTTGACCAATGTAAGTTCTTATTAATCTTGTCTCAATTTTGAATTTAAAATAAAATAATGTGCATATAATCATTTTTTTAACATGTTTTGACCATAAAATTTACAAAGTTTTAACTATTTCAAACTTAATAACAGTTAAATATACCATTATCAATCCTTATATTTAAATTAAAATTTTGAAATATTTGATCAAGCCACCTCGAAAAAAATAAAATGTGTCGCTTGTGCCAAAAATTTAAAAGTCGGCAACTGGAAAAACCTCAATTTGGACGAGGAACCATGCTTCGGTGATGGAAGGCATGTAACTGAATGTCAAGCTGAACGATGCGCTTTCTTTCTTTCCATAAAAAAGAAAAGTTGGTTGGTTTTTTTATTGATAATTTAGCCGCCCTAATTTATTTGTCTTACGAAATTCATTCCATCTATGCAATCTTGGTTTATTATTGATAGCCTTATTGCTATATTTTGTTGATTTAAAGTAGTATGTTTTATTTAATGTAATAAGCAGTTATTCATAAATGATATATCCGTTTTTTAGCAAGTTTTTACATTTAATTTAACCCCAAATTTTCCTCCAGTCAACTATCAATAAACCATCAAATCAGATAAAACCTTAGGCTTTTGGAGGCTCTGCATGAATCGCACTAACACGGGTCCAGATGATCTGAACTACGTTGGCTCGGACAAGACCGATTTAGTCATTCAGAAGTTCAGTTCGAAAGCATTTGGGAACTGTGGCACAGCTAATGAAGTGATCGGAGACCTTAAAGTATCTCCAGACCGAAAATTCACAAAACAGGGGAAAGAATTTTACGAAAAAGTCATTGGAAGTTGGACGAAGGATGCTTGCAAGTCCCGAAAGGATAAAAATTCCAGTGGTTACTCTGATGACGCTAGTGATGAAATGGGAAAGAATAAAAAAAAGAAAACTGACAGCGATGAAGATAATGGCCACAATTCTAAAGGTAAAAATAGCAAGGAGAACCATTACAATGAAGAAGACGAAGAAGACGACGATGATAAAGATAATAACAAACGAGACAATAACAGTGCAGATTCAGATGAAAACGAAAGTAATAACGATGATGGCGAACACGATAATGAACAACAGCCAGATGGAAGATGATAAAATATAATTAAAATTAAAAATAAATTAATTAGTAACAATGAAAATGTTAGAGTGTATCTAATAGGAGTGTATCTAAATAGTGTATCATAGAGTGTATCTAAATTTCCAACCAAAAAACCTTCTTTGATTCTATAGAGTGTGTAGGCTGCATGGGCAGACATTTTTTACCGTAAATTTTTCATTAGTAAATTTTGAAACCACCGCAGTTTCCGAAAATATTTATTTATAAAAGCACGCAACACTCTACAGTAAAATCGCTGGTCTCATGCGAAAACTTGTCAATTCTGAGCCACGCAAATTGCATAGAGTGAATAAAACTTTTTGAAAATGTTTAATCATATACGTATAAATGTATAATCATATACGAATCTACTTGTGAATAGTAGTAATTTATTTCGTAAGTACTTGATTCGCGAAATACCTCGGAGAAAAATTTAGTTTTTTTAGACGACTTCCCATCTCGGTTTTTTCTGAAGACTGGTTTTAGTAGTAACCGGACGGTTTATGATAAAATAATGAAATCAGTTATTTTGCATGAAATGAGGTTTTTTTCTATAAAGACGTTTGAAACGCATTCATTCATTATTTAAACTGCATTGTGTGAGTTTCAAAATTGCATGTGGTCGTATTTTTCTTTGTTACATTACATTTGAGAAGTGTTAGTTTCACCGAGGTAGGAATTAAGTTTGCGCGAAACACAACCGAGGTGCTATTGTATTCTTATTTGAACATTTGAAATTTCCAACTTTTCTCCATTTTTTTATTTTGTAAAAGATTTTCTTTCAATATAATTTATTTATTATGAAAAATATAAAGAGCCTTGAAAAACATCTTTCATACGTTAAACAAAATGAAGACATCAATCAGTTTAACATTAGCCAGGCTCAGAAAATATAGTATATATATATATATACTATAATATATATACTATTATTGTAATATATAGAATAAGGTTTATTATAAATTCAAATGTTTACAAGAAATCGAAACTATCAATTTCAAATAAATTTTAATCAAATTGTTTCCATTTGCTAAAATTATCTTTAACAATTAATATAAATAACTATATATAAAGTTCATAAAATTAAAATAAAGATAAATAACTTAATAAAATAAATAATCCAATTGATCCGGTTTTGAAAAATTATCATTTTTTATATCATATAATATGATGTATCATATCATATCATATGATATATCAATCATATCGTTTCATATATCATATCCGTGTCCAGTTAAAATTCTTGCAACCGTCTTATATCGCATACGCCTTTTTGAGTTGGCTGTCGAGTTGATGATGAAATTGAGATGATTATAAGTAAGACGTTGATCATGGTGATAGTGGTTGGTGATAATTAATATGATGACTGAAATGATAGTGATGAAAAATAATAATAGTTTGAATGATAATGATGAAAAAGCTAAATGCGAAAGGATCTGATACAATCGCGAAGATAACTATGAAAATGATTATCAAAATAAAGTTGATAAAGACGCGGTCTGATTATGAACAAACTGATGACGTCATCGCCACAATTATAAATTATGTTAATTTATGTTTGTCGCCACAATTATAAATTATGTTAATTTATGTTTGTCATTTACGTCACTTACGTTGGATGACAAGTAGGCAGCTTCGCATTTTTCGTTGAAGGCTTCCAGGTTGAAATTGTAATCTGTTTCGAGACGATTGTCATTGTTGTTATGGAACAGCGAGATAGTGTAATGGTTAAGGCGCCTGCTTTTGCTCCTGTGGTGATTGGATTCGAATGCAAACGATCTCCGCCTATCATATTCACTGCGTGCTTGTCGCCGATACCTCTGATGAATACAAAACCAGCTAGTCAGGCAGACAAATAAACAGGCAAATAAATAGACAGACAGACAGACAGACAAAAAGACAGTCAGAAAGACTATAAAGACAGACTGTCAGACAGACAGGCATACAGACAGACAGACAGACAGAAGCAAAACAACTAACGTCTCGTAGTTAAGACTTTAGCGTAAACTAGAACCTCAGCTATGACCAGGTCACCATTCAATCTTTCAATGATCATGTGCTGACCAGATACCGGTCCAGGCTGGCAGTCCATGGACACCGTACTGCCGAGTGCTACCTGGTAGGTTATTTCAAGTGATTGTATTGCATTATGTTGTATATAGTATTTTTTTTACTTAGCTGATGTTTTTGTTTCGTTAGTTTGTTTGTCATTATTTATTCGTTTGTAAGAGTTATCAGGATACATAAGAAACTGATCAGTGCATGTAATTTTTTAAAATATGAAATTAATCTTTCAGGAAAATTTAAACAAATTATTGAAAGTACTTCTAAATATCGGTAGAAACAAATTAATAAATAATTGATCCATAATTGACCAATGTATGTAAGATCGAAATTCCAACATTCAAATGGGCGTACCTGCTGTTTGTAATGGTAACAGAGGTCCAGTGTGCACACGTTCACCTTGTGCTTCTGCGATACACTAATTGTGAAATTCTTTAAATTTTTTCCAACTATAAAGAAGATGATGAAGAAGACGATGATGACAATGATTATATGATGGTGATGTTAGGTTAGAGATCCTAAGATACTGACAATGTTATTGTTATGCTGATGATAACAATGATATGACGAAAAAGACGTAATGAAGTCGATATTGAAATGTGATCACACCACGATGGTGAAAAAATAATAATAATAAAGAGAATATAAAAAGTTGAGAAAGTTTGAGCGAATTATAAGAGAAATAAAATTGGTGACGAAAATAAATGAATATCAAAGAATAAGCAGCGGTTGAGACAATAAGTGGACAATTTTAAACTAAAACATGAATGTGTAATAACAAATTTAGATTTTTTAAACATGAAACAATCTCAAAGACTCCGACAAACAAAGATCTCATTCAATTTAAAAACTCACCTTCAGATTTTGCGTTAGTCAGTTTAACGCTGAACACAGTTAACCTCTTACCGAAGTTGATGGACAGCCATGAAAAAGTGACCTCTTCGATAGAAATGGTCGTAACGACGACGTACGTGTCGTCGTTGTTGTCGATGGCCGAACTAGGTTGGCGACTGTTTTGGGCGAGCCTACTTACCGCTATCATGCTAGACTCTATCGGTTGGATGCCTATGATGATACGATACCGTGCGAAAAGATTCGATACGAGACGATATCGTGTAAGATGATACAAAATATTGGCGATATCTGCTGCTAAACAACATAACCTACTTTTTAAACTAAAAATAATCATTTAGATTTGAGAAAAAATTCTAGAGAAAAATTTAGTGGCGGACTATTTTAATTACATCTGCCGATTATTAAAATAATGACAAACGTAACGCAAATTAAGACAAAAATTACCGAGAAAAAGATGACCAAAAAACACATAAAGCATCAAAGATGTTTTATTTAACATATAAACAAACTCGGTTTAGACTGGCTCGGATCGTAAACAACGGTCTCAACACGGTCTAACAACTTCACATCAAACGTTTCTGTCAATTTATAGATGAACATGAAACGTCCAAACATGTTTGTTGCACAACGAAATATTTTGACGTCACCGAGTTTGAACGCTTTTGATTGGTCGTTGAGGTTGTTACCGTTTCTGGTGTAGTTGAAGTGATGGCAGGTTTTGCATTTTTTATTCGTTTCAAAATTTGTACGTTTCAAAGTGGACAGTTCCTTGCAGATGGTCATTTTGAAGTTGTTCAGTTTCACTGGAACTTATTTTGAATTTAATTATTTTTAAGAAATAAAAGTTTTAAATTTGGATTAATTTTATATAATCATGTATTAGAAAAATTATCAGTCTTCAAATAGCACGCAAAATTTTTTTTAAATTTCAATTTTCTAAACAACTTCCGTCATCAAAACATCATCAAATTTCCAAATTTGTTTCAACAACTCCACAGATTAAACTTTAAAACATTTCGTTTCGCATCTCAACTTACTCACCAGAGCTATCATTGGAGCTGAATATTTTCACGTACACCACCTCCATACTCGTCCCAAAATCCATCATCCAAAACGCCTTCACTTCCAAATCTGAAATTTGGTTGAATGAATGAACGGATGGACGATTGAGTGGATGAAAAAAATGGATAAAATATTGAACGAATGGGTAAAATGAATTCCCAGATAGATACCTATATAATATATATTTTAATATAAAAGTAACCTATAGGTTATGGTTCGCTAACTATAGAAACTGAAAAATCTATTGACAGTTTAAGAATTATAAATTTAAAATAGAAAAAAAACTCTACCAATAGTTAAGACGTAATTGATTATATGAGTAAATGAGTAACATTACTTCAATACTTGCCTTCAGTATCTTCGCCTGTTAATTAATAGTAACTTTTTTATTAATTCAAATTATTTTATTTATTGTTTTTTTAATTCTACGACAAAAATGTTTATTTCATCTGATATCATTGAAAAATGTATTGAAACAAACCAAATTATGCAGTTTAGTTTTAGTCAATTTTTTAAGACACTTGACTAATCGTATTAGTAATAGACAAATTTCAACATTGTAATTTTTTTAACGTTTATAATAATTAAAAAAATTGAATACCAGATATAGTCGTGAGACTCTTCAAAGTTGTTGGTAATGTTTGTAGTTTAAGTGTCATTTTCGTTGTTGGTTGGAGCAGTTTAGGAAGATCAGATTTTGGCGGTTGTGGTTTTGGAAGCTGCGGTCTAACAGTTTGTTGAGGCAACTGTTGATTCGTGTGATGAGGCGGTCTAATAGGATGTTTAAGAGTTTTAGGCTGTTCATTCGGATGATGAAACGGTCTAATAGGATGTTTCTGATGATGCGGTCCAATGGATTTTTGTGTTCTTGGTGGTTGTTTTGGAGGGTGTGAATAAATTGAGAAAGTTTTAGTTGACTGTAATTTAGGTTGGTAAACATTTGTAAAATTTGATTTGGGTGTAATAGGATGTTTAAAAATTTTAGGTTTCTGATTCGGATGGTGATGTGGTTTAAAAGGATGTTTCGGATGATGCGGTTTGATGGGTTTTTTTGTTCTTGGTGGTTGTACTGAATAGTGTAAAGGAACAGAGAAACTTTTAGTTAATCGTAATTTAGGTTGGTAAAAGTTTGTAAAATGAGGTTTGGTCAAAGCCGGTTGCTGTTTTTTAGTAGTGATTTTCGATCGCGGTTTTGTTTGAGGCAAGTTTGTAGAATAAAATTTCAATGTAAGTTGTGGTTGTGACAGTATTGGCGGATTATATTTTGTTTTAAATTTTGTTGGCGGCAAAAGTAGCATATACGTCGTTTTTCTACCTCTTTTACTATGGGGCCATTTTTTAATTGTACGTATTTTTACCGGTGGTTGAACATTTGGTTGACTCTTTCTGGGTGGAATTAAAGTTGGTTTATTCAAATGTTTAGATTTTGTTGAATATAAAAATTGAGTTGGTTTCGGGAATGGGTTTTTTGACAAAGATTTCCATTTTGGTGAGTGAGAAGTTTTTTTGGATTTTTTGTTAGTTAATATAATATGTTTTTTATCAGTCGGGCGTGTTGGTCTAATTCTTTTGGATTGTTTAGATGAGGAAAAAATTTTTGTTTTTTTCAATGTTGGCACAATAATTTTTCTTGTTTTTCGTGAAAAAATGTTTTTTTTTCGTTTTATAGTTTTCCTAGTTTTCAATTCTCTACCCGAAAACATTTTTTTCTTAGATGATCGAGTTGTTTTTTTTGTTTTTGTTTTTCGTATCTTACATTTTCCTGTTTTTTTCGTGAGCCTTCTCTTTTTGTGTGTACGTTTTTCATTTTTCGGATAGTTCCACTTCCTCGTTGATGCAAGTTTTGAATTTCTAACCTTTTTTTTGGTTTTTCTAGAGTTTATTTTTGTGGTTGTTTTCAATCGTAAAAATATGTTTTTCTTTCGTTTTATAGTTTTCCTAGTTTTTAATTCTCTTCCTGTAAACATTTTTTTCTTTGATGTTTGTGATGTTTTTTTTGTTTTTGTTCTTCGTATCTCACATTTTCCTATTTTTTTCGTGAGCCTTCTCTTTTTGTGTGTACGTTTTTCATTTTTAGGATAGTTCCTCTTTCTCGTTGATGCAAGTTTCGAATTCCTAACTTTTCTTTTTGTTTTTCTAGAGTTTTTCTTTGTGGTTTTTTTCAATCGTGCATTTTTTCGTGTAAATTTCGTTTTTTGCGAAAACGTTTTTTTCGTTAGTTTTTTTGTAGTTTTTAATTTTTTTCCCGTAAACAATTTTTTCTTAATTATTCGTTTTTTTTTTTTTGTTTGTGTTCTCTGTTTTTTACATATGCCTGCTATTTTTATCGTAATCTTTTTATTTTTAAGTGTACGTAAATTTTTGCGTGGGCATATTTTTTGCCTGGTTTTTCTTGGGCCTCTTTTAGTTAATGTTGGTTTGAATTTTGATTTCTTCGAATATTGTGATTTGCGTGTAAGTTTTTTATTCTGCGTCAAAATTTTTATTTTATTTGTGATCAATTTTGATGTTGTTTTAAATGGTTTCATATTTTCTTGTTGCTTTGGTATTCTTTGAAGTATGGTTCTAAAATGTTGAGTAGTTGGGAATTCCAGCTGCTTTTTTTTAATTGTAGTAAACTGTGGAGTAATTTGTGGTTTCGACAATTTTGTTTGTCTCTTCGTTTGTTTTTGAATTATTCGCGGTATTGTGGGTTTCGTATTAATCCTTAACAGCGTAGCCAGTGATTTTCCAGTGTTTGGAATTGCTACAGATTTTGAAATTTTCAAATATAATTTAGTTGTTTGTGTAGTTAACGATGCTATCGTTGTTGTTGTTGTTGTTGTCGCTTTGACTTTTGGTCTTGACGAGATTGTAGCTTTGCTTGTTTTTGATGATGGTGTCGTTTTTCTAGTTTTCCTAGATGTTGTTGTAATGATTGTTGTTCTTGTGAAGATTTTTGATGTAGTAGACGATGTTGATGAAACTAATGTAGTTGTTGTTTTTTTAAACGCTGTCTTTGTAGTAGTACTACTAGTAGTAGAAATAGTAGTAGCAGCTGCAGTTGTTGCAGATGATACCATTTTTGAAGATTTTTTGATTGATTTTGTGGAGATTAATAATGGTTTAACAGTTGGGGCTGATCTAACTTTAGTGAGTGTTGCCCAGGTAGAGGAGGCTGAAATTTTTGTTGTAGTTGTAAAAGTTGATGCAGCTGTAGTTGTTGCTGTAGCTTTTGAGGTAACAGTTGTAGTTTTTGTAGTGGACATCGCTAAATTTGTTGTTGCTGTAAAAACTGAAGTTGTAACTGTAGTAGATACTTTTGACTGTGTTGTTTCGCTTATACTTATTTTTGTCATGTTATGATTTTCAGGGGCTGGTATTGTTGGTGGTATCGATGGTGGTTTCATTTTTTCTGCTGTTTGACTTCTTCGCCAGTTTACTAGATCAAAATTTGTTTTTATAAATTTAAATCGGTTATTTTTCGTTTTAATGAAATATTTGTAATGTATAATCTTCGTGTTTATTTTTGTCTAATTTTTAACTCTTGAAAACTCTAATTTTCAAAAGCTAAATGACCTTCAAACAAATCTAGATGATTAATTTCCTAAAACTAGTATGAAATTTATATTTGTTAATTCTATTAATTAGCAAAATGAAATCTTTCAAAAAACATAAAAATTCACGATAAATTCGCATTTCAAGAAATTATTTTTAAACGACAACTTCATATCATAACATTTAATTTACATAAATAGACGCAATAAAACAATTTAAAAAGTTCTAAACAAAAATCTTCAGCCAACCTTCATAAGAAATTTTTTTGTGTATAATCGTGAATGACCATTCCGACATCCAATCAAATTGTGTCCTTTCCATTGAGTAAGCAACGAAAAGATACCTAAATTTTAGCCCACTAGAGGCACATGTTATTCTAACTTTTTGGCCAGATTTAACCCGTATTGGATCTTTACTGGTTTTGCTGTAGCATATTTTGGCGAAAGACTCTTCCCAAATACCCTTCTGTCCAACGAATATGTTAATGTCTGTTAGAACGACATCATCTGGGCAAATGGGTTGTGAGATTTATTTGTTTTACTAAGTATTTTCGGACAGTTTTAATATTTATTTAAAAATCCTTAGTGTTTTTTATAATTTTAAAGATTGAAAGTTGTGCCTAATAAAATTACGTAAAGATTAATAATATTAATGTATATCTTGTCAAGTGATATCGTAACGAAATGTTATCTCAGAGAATCTGGAACCTCTTACTCCACGTAAAACCTTAAACCCCCCGTCCTTTTTATCTTAGGAGCTATACGTAATGCTTAGACAATCTTGCAAAATTGAGTAATATTCGCAAAGATTTGTTATAATTAATATATTTTTTTGCATTTTCATTATTGGTATTAACTGCTTTATTTCGTTAGATGTAATCGCATAGATATTTTAATATAACAAGATAAATGAATAAAAATAAGAATAAAATAAAATTAAAACGAAGGACAAACATTTTGAATTATACGTAACGCTGACAACTTGGACTTCACACGTAAAGTCGATGATATGGGAGTATTTGAAATTTTTGATGGTGACAGTGGAGACAACAATTTTTTTCAACCATTCCCTGGGTGATTTTGCTGCAGGCTGAGGTGTGGTTTCAATCGTGTCTGAATGAAATTTTGTAGCGATATACTTGAAAAAGCACTTTGAATATTTTTCTAATTTTCAATAATATTACAATAATTCGTAAAATTAATTCAACTGTTTGTGTAGAAATGAATATTTAATAAAATCTGTCGTTACCATGAACGGAAATTTTAACCATTCAATTACGTTTGCCTCTCGTGCAACGTTAACAAATTATATTGCAAATCATATTATAATTATTTTATAAATAATAATTACGTAATAATATTATACTTCGATAAAAATAAAACACAAAATTTAATAAATTTAATACACTGCGTATATATCTCCTCCTCAAAGATAATAATCTGGACTGCTTTTATGGTATTCAGTTGGAAAGTAACTTGCTCGTCAACACTTCGAATGACTACAAACCTACCTCTGGTTCCTCTGTTACAAGTCAATCTACGATGTGTGTTTATCAACAAGTATGTTATTATTGTCAATTAATTTTGTTCATTATTTTTTTAGATGTATCAATACGCGTCTCAGTCATTGCATGGGATAAGAATTCAACGCCATGAGTAGAAGTGACTTCAAAAAGCGTCTAAAAAATAATTTATTCAGCATCCCACAGTCAATTCATGGAAGGCGCTTAACAAGTTCTGCGATACGATAGGCGGATTTTCTATGCATTCGAATAGTAGTCCCATAGTTAGGGTCTACAACATCTGTGCCAAGCCCCTTACTTTCTACACCCAAGATGATGAGATTGAAATATGATCTACCTGTATTTCGAAGTTGGGAGTAACTTTTTGTGACCGCGATAAATGGCACAGATTTTGTCGGAATAGCTCCTTCTCAGTTTTGGCACTTCAATTTCTAAGGTTACTAAAATGTTTGCCCACCTGGCAATGACTGGATTTAAGTAGGATGGTGATGTAGTATTTATTTTGGAAATTAATTATAACTATTTATTTGTAATTATGTTGTTAGTGTTGGTTGAAAAAAATTACTAAAAAAAAATATGAAAAATGTAATTTAAACGTTTCAATTAGTTAAATTAATTCTTAAATTTATTAATTTTGATCGGGATGACGAAAAAATATGTCTTCACTCTGTTCTAGGTTTTTTTTTTAAAATCTCCGAGTCCAATTTTAGCAAAAACTTCCGACTTCGACCGACTTTGACATCCGTTTAAATTTACCAAATCATAAAATCAAAAACTAACCGATACGGTCGGTACTTATCAGAAAAGTTACCGTGGCCACTGTAACATCCCTGCCAAAATCAAATACCCACAACCCGGTGTTTTCGTCATCATAGCGAACCTCGCTATAAAGACAGTACCAATTTATTGATGTATGAACGGTTCTGACGATAGTTTCGGTAACTTCAGTAACCGTTAAAATTTCGCTTTCATCTGCAATGTTTCAAAAAGAAATTCATTCAAACTTCTTATCTCAATGATTCTTAATCGTTAAAAAATAATTTGAGTATTATAACAACGCTTAGAAAAATATAATTTGTGAACTTAAAACATTTCTTTTTAACGATATAATTGAAATATCAAATAATCACTCACAAGGCGTTGTTTGTGAAAATTTTGTTTAACAAAAATATGAGTAAAAAAAAATCGATTTACTTACATGACACGATTCTCTGATACTCCAAAACCCAGACGATGACTTTTTCCAGCGAGTTCCTCAGAAAGCCATCAGGTCTTTTAGAAATGTGCAGGTACCTGCCAATGGAATGTTCCGAATGACATCTGAATTTTATTTTCGTTCTTGGTCTTAACGACTTGCCACTGTATCTAAAGCAAGTTGAGGAAAATTTTCGAATGAATAACTCTTTCCCGATGAATATCTCTACACTGGTCAGGGATTCTGTTTCTAGGATATATTTGATAAGAAAAAAGGTTTGCTTGTTCGATTAATCATTAATCTATCATCAAACTGACTAAAATGTTGTTAAATTTATCTAGTTTACTGATTTGAAAACATGCTCAATACAATTTTCAAATTACTGTGGTATCAAATACAGAGAGTTTAGTTGCAGTAGTAGAACTATTTCAAAAATATCCTGAAAATGTTTTGCAGATTTCAAATGATTAATCCAAATTATGATTTTACCTTTTCCAGTAAAAATTGTGACCATCTTTACTATCTGCTCAATGTAAAGGTCAAAGATCCAGTAACCTAGTTTAAAAAATGAATACGTTGAAATGTTTAAATTTACACAAATCAAAACTAGTTTTTCATACAAGCAAACGCAATGAAAGAAGAAATCATTTCGATCAAATTTTCAATTTGAAAAGAATTCACCATTGATGCTAATAACCAACCCGTCTCTTGGCCATTCATCCACGAAATTGTAACAAACCAGGAAGTTATTCGCTTGTAACTTGTAACAATTTTGTCGGTGGTTACAGAAGTCGAAGCAGCAATAGTAGTTTTAGTACGGGTTATAATAGTGGTAATAGTAGTAGTAGTAGTAATAGTGGTAGTAATAGTAGTAGTAGTAGTAATAGTAGTAGCAGTAGTAGAAATAAAAGTTGTAGTAGTTGATTTAATTTTAGTTACAGAAGTAGGTGTAGTAAAAGTGGTAAACGGTTTTTTAGTAGTAAGAGTAGTAGTGGTAGTAGTAGTAGTAGTAGTTGTAGTAGTAGAAGTAGTAGTTGTAGTAGAAGTAGTAGTAGTAGTAGTAAAAGTAAAAGTAGTAGTAGAAGTAGTAGTAGTTGTAGTAGTAGAAGTAGTAGTTGTAGTAGAAGTAGTAGTTGTAGTAGAAGTAGTAGTAGTAGTAGTAAAAGTAAAAGTAGTAGTAGAAGTAGTAGTAGTTGTAGTAAAAGAAGTAGTAGTAGTTGTTGTAGTAGTAGAAGTAGTAGTAGTAGTCGTCGTCGTAGTAGTAAAATTAGTAGTTGTAGTGGTTGATTTAGTTTTTGTCGCAGTAGATTTGGTACTGGAACTAATAGAAGTAAAAGTTGTAGTAGTCGTTGTAGTAGTAATAACAGTAGTAGTAGTCGTAGTAATGGTGGTAGTAGTAGTAGTAGTAGTAGTAGTAGTAGTAGTAGTAATAAAACTAGTAGTTGATTTAGTTTTTGTCGTAGTAGATTTTGATTTAGTAGCTGTTGTAGTAGTAGTACTGGTAGTAGTAGAAGTAGTAGTAGTAATAGTAGCAGTAGTAGTTGTGGTAGTAGTAATGGTTGTAGTTGTAGTAGTAGCAGTTGTGGTCGTAGTGGTAATTTTTGTTGTTGATTTTGTAGTAGCGGTAGAAGTCATTGTCATTGCAGTATTAGTGGCTGTTGTAGTAGCAGCGGTAGTTGAAGAAATGGAAGTAGAAGTTGTTGGGATAGTAGTAGTAGTGATAGTAGTAGTGGTGGTAGTAGAAGTAACCGTAGTTGTTGTTGTAATAATTTTTGTTGTTTTTTTAGTAGCAGTAGTAGTAGAGCTTGTTGTTTTAATGGTAGTGGTTGTAGAAGTTGTCGTTATTTTTGCTGTAGTAGTTGTTGTTTTAGTTGTGGTACTAGTAGTAGTAACAGTAGTAGTTGAAGTGGTTGTAGTAGAAGTCGTAGTAGTAGTAGTCGTAGTCGTAGTAGTAGTAGTAGTAGTATTAGGGGTAGCGGTAGTAGTAGTAGTAGTGGTAGTAGTTGAAGTGGTAGATGTTTTCGGGGTAGTAAAAATTTTTGTAGTTGTAGCAATGATAATTGTTGTCGTTTTCAAGGTAGGGTTAACTGCTCGTTTCGTGGCAGTTGTAAATGTCGTAACGGGGAAACTGGTAGTAGAAGAAGTTACGACTGAAACGGCAGTTTTTGTGGTCGTAGTTGAAGATGTTGGGACCTTTTTTGGCATTCTTCCAGTAACTTGTAAATGGAATCAATCATTTAATTGATCAAATTGCTTCCATAAAAAATTGTAAACTTTTTTTTATTTATTTCACTAATTAATTTATTAATTAGTGAATTAATTTATTAATTGATTAATTAATTAATTTACAAATTTATTAATTAATTAATTTATTAATTAATTGACAATCAATTTTTTATTTATTTCACATTTGCCTATTCAAATAACTTGGGAAAGATTTTAAAATTTTTGTCTACTGGTAGTCATGTCCGGATATGTACAAAAAATAAAAAAGACGGCAAACTAACGCGTTATAACCATATGGTCGCGCAACTCCACACCAACTTCAATCCTCTGGATAGAGGTCACTCTAAACGCTTCGGCACTGCTGTAAATCACCACAAAAATGCCATCTACCGGCTGGGGAAGGCATACAAATGTTTTTTCAACTCTAGTCGGTATGTTATCCGATTGGGATCGATATTCGCTGCAGATTATACCGTTGGTTTTGTCGGTATTGATTTGACCGGATCTCGGAGGGGTATTCCAAACCGATATGGTTAACGTTTTCAGGCTTTTGACCGCTTTTTAGTGAGTTGATAAGGATAATAATTCATTTTATCTAATAAATTTTGTTAAATAAATTTCTTCGTTTTATAAGTTCTTAGTTTAAATAATTTTCATTAGTTCGCTATTTTTTATACAATTCGATTACATAATTTTACTATATTTGAAAAAAAAGTTTAAAAAATATAATACAAAATATAAGCCAAAAAATTGAGGTTTTCAGTTGAAATCTCCAAACTTTCAACATGATATCCACTCCTGATGACGACGTCAACCACGGAATAACTGGCTCCCATGTTAACCACAAGCCAGCCTCCTGGTGACAATTCCGTCCTTAAGGTGTATGTTATCGTAACTCTGGCATTGTAGAGAGGGTTGGTTATTCTTTTGAACGTCATACAGTTCATCGTTGTGTTTGAATCGATTTTTTCCGTAACTACGAATAGAGAAAATTTAAAAAAATTAACGTTTGGGTTGCCGATTGAGTGGGGAAGTTTTGAAATAGGAGTGAATTACAACACGAAGAACTGAATCGCTTGTTTTTAATCTAAATTCAATAATTGAAGTGATGAGTGAACATTTTTTTTCAAAATAATTTATGGCCAAACCATCACCTAACCAACCGTGAAATAGCTGAGACTCAAATTCCAAAAGTACTTTAAACTCCAACAAAAACTTCCAAGAAAGCACCTCATTACGTTTACCAGTCAAGATGATGAATTTGCCATTTTCGTCTACTTTACTCATGAAGCCAGTCTTCGTCATCGTCATCTGGAAAGGTTTTTTGGGACCATGTTTTTCTCTCTCCGTACCGATTTGGTATCTAACTGCGTCTGGTTTGCCTTGAACGTGTTTGCATTATTTTCATTTTTTGAATTTCTATGTTTGTTTGTTTGTGTAATTGGAATTGAGACAAATATCTTAAATAAAATTTTCTACAAAACACAAACTCAGTAGCAAGCACATTTTGGAAAGGAAGTTTTTTTTATAAACTGCAATACATTGAACATGACGAGAAATTTTAAAGTAACAAAATCAAATTTAACCTAAAAACTCGACACTCGGTTTTAAGATGATAATCAAAATTTTATACATCCCATCCAGTTCGGCTATCCAGAATCCAATAAATGACCTACTACTCCAAGGTGAGAGGTCATAAAAGATCAAAGAGAGTCGATTTTTTCTAGGCGAAGTCACATCGGTGTATGCAGGGCTTGAACTTGCTTGAAGTCGATAAGTAGAGAATTTAATTTGATGTTAACTTATTGAGTAATAACATTTCTTTAATGAATGTTTTGTGTATTTTCATTGTTACAAGTAGTTTGTTTTAATCATTTCAAAAAAATTCGTCATTTGTTTTCTAACTTGTAACAAGAACATCAACAATGGCGAAGGCCTTATTGCTGATGTAGTTTCTATTCCGGCTCCAAATGTACAGATACCTGATTTGTGAAAGGTTTGAAATTTTTGAAAAATGAATATAAATGAATAATTATTTCATGACTAATTTTCTTAACATGATTTATATAATCATACAATTTGTTGTAGTAGTTGAGTTCACTAGCATATAAAAAATGTAAAAGGACACTGAACCCCAAACAAACATCTAGAATTCATTCATAAAATTAATACCATGTAACATATAATCTAACCTTCCATAAACAGTGTTGGGCCTACAGTTGAAACTCGAATACATACCGGGGCCAAACGGATTACCGTTGTACTCGAAACAAATCCGAATATTCGATTCGTGAATTCGGTAGCTATTTCTCCAACTCAAACTCAAATTACTTGAGAAAATTATAAAGTTGGATAGTTGGGCGGATACTGTGTTGGGGAATAACTTTTTATTATAAACTTATTTAAATTTAACAAAAAATTTTTGTAAGAATATTTTAAATAATAATTGTCAGCCTTAATTATATGTTTACATTTTACAAAAACACTGTGAAGAATTTGAAAAAAAATCTATTTGATTCATGTTTTCAAAAAAAAAATTCATAAATTCATCACAGCTGAAAATCTTTCTAGAATCTTTCAAAAATTCAAACCTTGACGAATAAATTGGAATTTTATTGGAATGAACATTATTAACACCAAATAAAAGCACAAAAAATTAAACACATTTCTAGGAAAAGATAAAATAAAACATTGGAGAGAAACATTCTAACACATTTCACTGCCAGCGCTCTTAATTCTCACGCTTTTGAATTCCCTGACGGTTTGAAAGTCGGCCATCCAACCAGATGCCACAGATTTACTGATCCTTATCTCACGAGATACACATATCGTCGTCGAATTTTTCATGGTAGATATCCCTTTTAATGGTTTTAAGATTGGCTGGTTATTTTGAAAGAAACCCATTAAGAAATGTTGGTAGGAAAAGTTTTTAATGTTCACAACAGTATATATGCAAATTAGGCGTAAATATAGATGAATATTTATATAAATTATGATAATGCGAACCGTAATTCTCTACAGAAACTTCTCTTGGATAGCAAATCACGGTCATCTCCGATCCTTGGAGATGAATTTTTCAAAAATTTCATAAAATTGAAATAATAAATAACAAAAATCGTTTCTAAGAGACATAATGTTTAAAAAATTTACTCAAATTGCTGAATTATATGAAGATAATTATGCCCGATAATGAAATAATTGAATTAATTAATTAAATGAATTAATGATAATGAAATATTTTTTGCGAAAGTTGAAAATAAAATTTGCATTGTAGGACTACCTCCCTCAATGTCAGCAACGTTTATGACGAATGTCTCCCACTTCTCGTTAGCTTTGGTAGAATAATGTTTCATAATAATTTTAGAAATTAATGAAATCAAATCAAAATTCTATAAAACATTTCGAAAATAAGATAGCAGACGGAAATGGTTGATGCATGATTGGATAGATGGATGAATGAATGAATGAATAAATAGAGGAGTAGATGAATGAATAAATAAAGGAGTGAATAAATGAATACACGATCGAACAAACTAATGAATGAATGAATTGATAAAAGAATGAACCCTTAGCGAACCAGCAGTTTGTGGTAGGACCCCGGTTAGATTGAAAATATGCCAGGCAACCAATCCAACTATGATGACGAGTAGTGACATTACCGCGATTACTATGGAGTTTTATTTTAATTACTTAATTCATATTTTTATGAATAAAACAATTTTAAATTGTTTAAAATAATGTATAAAGACAAATGTATAGACAAATGTATAAATAAATAATTAAACAAATAAAAGATTCATTCTATAAAGCCATTATGAAGTGTTATCAGCACAACTCAAACAAATGCCTTTTAAAACCAAGAGATCAAAACGTTTCAAAATGAACTTGTTCAGTAAAGCTACATTTACTTATAAAAAGGTTTTTGATAAATCTTACCCAGAGAATCAAATCTCAATATAAAAATTTCCAAAGTTTTCAACCCACCCGATAATTTACTTGACATAGCCCGCCATTGTTGTTGTTTTTTGAAGAGGAATATTTACAAGAGAAACAGTTTAATTACTTAAATTTTCAACATTATCAACAATTATTATTTATATTAATTTTAGTTTTCTTAATGATGAAGATTACTTTAATTCCTTTTATTTATTTATTTATTTAAAATGGAAAAATTGTATAAGAATTTGATCTGGCAAGCTTAGTGCTTCATGGACAATAGCAAGTCAGAATGAAGTTCGTTGAAACAAATTTTCCAACAAATTCACACATATCTGCTACATTGTTAAGACAGTACAATTTATCCAATGATAATAATAACTTATAAAGATATAATTAGTATTATTATCTTCATAATTATTGCCTAAAACCATTCGAAAAATAAATTAATCGCAATTATCTCTAGGATATCGGACGCATTACGTGGTAAGAAAAGTAAAAGAAAGCGATAATTAAAGTACATTTATTATTAATCTTATTTTAATTAACATTGCTACTTTTATTGTTGATATTATTCTTGTTTTTAAGCTTGTTAAATGATAAACTTCGCACCAGTAGGGCCAACAAGATAGAGTACTATTGAGAATGTACCTAGATTGAAAATTTTAAGGATGACAATTTGAAATCGAACTAAGAATAATTTATCAATTTTATGAGAATATTTTAACAATTTCTTTTGCCAGTAGATTCTCAAACGCTACTCTTAACAACTGCTAACATCAGCCTTAACACTTATACTGTTACTACACTAGTACTATTGTGGTGATGCTAATGTGGCGAGAGTTGTTGCAATAGATCATCCGGGCTTTTGTGTGTGAATTTTTGATTCTATTTCTGTTACTACAACAGCTACTGCTGCTGCTGCTACTACTACGACTGCTGCTTCTGCTGCTTCTGCTGCTACTTCTACTACTTCTTTTTTTTCTACTCCTACTTCTACTACTACAACTACTACTGTTGTAACAACGGTTTTAAAATTTGTCTCAAGATTATAAGACAGCAACCTAAAGCATTGTTTTAACGGAAAATATCAATCTCTTGGAATTTGGTGGCCATTTACTAGCTAAAAATGAAAGAAATTAAAATGTTTAATAGCACAACCCGTTCGTAACACTTGAACAGATTAAAAGAAAATGTTCCCGGTTAAGTATGACAATTTTTTAACAAGTTTTATTTGCATGATTTCTGATTAAATGGTTCAAACTCTACAAAACATTAAGATACTTCGGCAGCAGTTGTGTTCGTTAGTTTGTGTTGTGTATGATAGCAAAATAATGAAATAAATTAGCCAGAAATTTTGCTAAAAATGTTGACAACGATTTTTAAATAATTTTTCATATACACACGCATACACGCGCACACACACACACACACACACACACACACACACACACTCAATTGTACAAAAACAAACATATATAAATAAATAAATATATAGTATTTACAACGTCAATAACACTCGCGCAACTAACAACATCTGGACTTAATTTATTAGAAATCGATTCGTTCATCTCTGTTGTGTAGAAAATTTAGAATTAAAAATTAAAAAAACTTGTCAGGTTAGATGCCAATTAATTTTCAATTTCAACAATAATTCATCGACCAATTTAGAGTGAATAAATTAAAATCTGTTACGTTAATTAATTTTATATAATTTGTAGTTATAGGCAAGCAATTGATGTTGCTAAATATTATTTACAATTCTCTAATCATTTTTTAAAGATACAAACATGACACCACACACGCGCACACGCACACACACACACTCGAACACCACACACACACACGCACACACACACACTCACACACCACACACACACGCACGCACACACGCACACACGCACTAGGTATGTTAATTCACATGGATCGACGCGTTCTTCACAAAAAAAAACGATAGACGAGGATCCATTTGCACACGAACTTACTCACTGTAACATAAAAAAAACCAGGCGTCTTTAACCATTACACTACCAATATTTAAAAAATTTTTTTTTATAAAATAGAACTTTCATATACAAACTATTCATAAGTCTTTAGTGATCTGCTATCAAAGGGATTATAAGTAATGAACAAACAAAATGGACTCAAATTAGTAAAGTACTCTCATCAAAATCGCAAATCTGGAAAGTCCTGGTATGAATGGGATAATTTTCAAAATTCAAAACTAAAAAGGATCTGCTCATTTTTAACGCCATTCCCATTCAATTTGATGAGTATTAAATTTTTAAACAACGTCGCAAAATATTTAAAATTTTCACACAGAATCTTCGAAAAATTCACTTCTTCCATGATTTGCTATGGAGGAAGTATTCCAGCATCTCTCCCAGGTCCCTGGATCCGCTACTATCTTCAGTAATCACGAAATATAATTCTTGAAAAGCAAAACAAACAAATAAACTCAAACGATCCAAAACGTGCAAGCATAACAAAATCACATTACCCTCCATGTAGGTTAATAATTAATCGATGAAGCTTCAAAATTGTCTGTTGCATCATAAAGATTTATCGAACTTTAGGCAAATTCTCACGTTATTGACGTCATTCGAACCGACCTGTTCGAGCGTTTCATACAATTTCATCGCACCCTACCCACAAATTCAAACGTTTTTAATAAATAGCTAGTCAGTTGGGAGAGTTTAACAGCCAAACAGTTGATGCAAGCGAGAAAAACTTAACATTTCTAAACAAGTTAGCAGTGCTGATGTTATCAACACTAAATTTAGGTGAATGTTATGCACAGATGGTTGTTATAATTATGAATTATATTTAATAAAATTCTCTATTTCACTTATGAATTGATAATTAAAATAAATACAGCAAAGTTGAACAAGAATGAGGTTCCTATTGAAGATAGTAATAACGTTCTGTGTTGCAATTAACGTTAACTGTCTGACATTCATTGACCAAGACTCCAAACTTGGTAGTAGGATCATCAAACTATGCGTCGATAAGCGGTATCTTGATGAGTTCAAACTGGAGAATTTTCATTTTTTGATTGGGCAGGCATGTTTGGGAAAATATTATACCATAGCATTAATACCATCATCATCGTCGTCATTATCACCAACATCATCATCGTCTTCGTAATCACCATCATCGTCGTCTTCGTCGTCTTCATCATGGTCGTCATCGTCATCACCATCATCATTATTACTTTTTGATTGTTGTTTATTTCCTTGCTAAATCTCACCTGTTTCGAAAACTCATCTGGAGGACATTTTAATGCTGGTGAATGCACGCTTCACACACATTGCATGCGACACGAGGCGTGCATCTTTCTTGCACTCGAATCCGGTTACTGTAGAAGCAAATCCAGACGTCATAACCATTACACCACCTATTTCATAATTTATAATTTTAAAACTTTATCATTTTTAGAAATAAAAATTAATAAAATAAACAAATAATCAAGAAATAAAAATACCCAAAGGATGGTGTAAATCAGATGAAATATCTCTTGAATGGTATGTTTTCTACGTTCAAAATCAGCAGAGGATTCTTTGGATATAATATCGAAAAAACTGTTAGTATCTGTATTTGTATTTAACGATTTGTATGGAGAGCCACTTATGATGAACCTTAGAGGCGTAGTGTGGCTAAAGGGCTGCCCATGAAAAATGCCCCGCTATTTGACAGCCCGTCACAAAATGTCCCACATTTTTAAAACTCTGACTCTTCAAAGGGTAGCATTCTTCACTGATAGTCCCAAAATGTGATGTATTTATAGATTTGAAATTTTGATACTGTCATAAAAAAATAAATTCTTATTTTTATTCTATTTATTTTGGAGTTTTATCATCAATTTATCCATTGAAATTATTTGCCGTTTCTCGCAGCCAAGCGATGGTACATATAATCATTGAAAATTCTCTCTATATAGTATAGATAAATGTACTATCACTCAAACGTATACGCATTCAATCAGCTCTTAATAACGATTTTATTTCTACAATAATTTATTTTAAAAATTTATTTTTATTTGTAAACTTTTTTTTATTTGTAAATTTTTCCCCCAAAAACACGAACATCAAATAAATATATCGAATTGATTTGTAGGTCGTTACATGCAGCTGCAATGGAACGGTTGACAAGATGAATTCAATTCTTGATACTGCTTCGATCTTTTGCTCTTAAATTTTCCAGTATGTCAAAGACATTTTGTGGAGATAATTAGTTTTAAATTATTTAAAAATTTTTTTTTTTTTTTAGAAATATTGCTATTATTCTATTTTAACTTTGAACGAGTTTGTGATACGATATCAAAATTGGCATATGATGGCAAAATTGTTTTACTGTTTGTTAAAATTGTTTACTTAATAAATGGTTTAAAGGTTTTTTAAATGGTTTTTAAATAAACTAAACTATTTGAACCAATTAAAAGATTTTTAGTTAAAATCATGAGAATTTAAACAAATTTTAGCAAGATAGTTGAAATAGATCCATACGTTTTGAAACAGTTGTCGAGCGTCTGTTTAACTTTTCATATTTTACAATGAAACCAACTCAATAATTAATTTGTTATTCTATTCCATTCACATCACATTTAAAGTTTTTTTTATCATAATTTCAAAAAAAATACAAGAAATACTTTCAATACTAGTTCTAAATCAAGTAATAACAAAAATGTATAAATTATTTGAATCCAAATTCGAAATCCCTGCTCTACTAGTAACAGGAGAGTCCGGCTGTATCACCATTCTTGTTCGTTTTGTCAATGGCGCCAGTGCAATTGCAACGAACAGCCTAAAAAAATTTAAATTATTTTTAAATTTAAAAAAATTTCAAACTCTGACACAAACAGAAACATAAAGCCTAGTTGGAACTAGAAATCGAGACATCAATGACTAGATTAAAATCCTTTAAAAAAATCGTAAAACGCCATAAAAACATGTAGAAAATACATGCTAAACAGTAGTTAAATGTATTGATATGACAACACAACATGTCAACATTCTACGAAATTCAAGCTGTTACAATAAATGCGCTTTGTTATGTAGAAAAGTTCTGACAGTCTGAGATGTTACCTAAAAATCAAATCAACAGAAACTAGCCAGTAAAAATGAAAACAAATGCTGAAATGAGAAACAAAATAAATGTCTTCTTACACCGTAATCTCTATATGGCCCAAAGGGACCGTAGACAATTTTCGGATTGAGCCCTGTATAGTGCCCGTCTAAAAAAAAGCTCATTGGGTCCAAATCCTGCGTGGGTCAGAATAAAAAAAAATTTATAAGGTTATCACATTGGGAATAAGCATGATAAATTTTTACATATTTACTATGAAGGAATTTAAATTACTAAAAATGGGTGTCGGATGCCTCAAAAAATTCCGACTCCGACTAAATTCAACGACCCCAACTCTGATATTCCGGTTAAGAATTAGATACAAAGGTTTTAAACTAACATCGATGTAGAGATTGTTGAGTTGGTAGAATCTGTTAGACTGACCGGACGTCTCCTGACGTTTTCTGACGCAAAGTTCGACGATTCTGTTGAAGTATTCCGTCTTTCTGCCGATGGCTGTCAAGCAATCGACGTGATAAAGAACCACGAAGAACAAAAAAGTCATCTGGAGTAGAGCACTCATTTCTCTATGTCTTGCAAGTGTTTTAGGATTAATTTTAACTATAATGTGTTTTATTTACTCGAAAAATTATTTGAAAACTGTTTAATACATGACCAAATACATGTTTTTCGCAAACTTGTTTCAGTAATAAGGTCAGAGTTTTGTCATTAGTTTTCTGTTTATTCAAAAAAATTGATTATATTTCATCTCAAAAAAAACTTTTTAAAGTTAACGTATTATCCTATCATATTTTTTTAAATACTGTTTCAGCTATTGTAAATGCGAGCATTTCTATTTTTGTCGACAAAACTACAGGAGAAAAAAATTCAACTGCAAAAATTTAACCACTAACCAACTAACTGATAAACTTTCTTCGAGGAAACTTTGTTGATCTCTTTCGAGTTTGAATAAATTTAAAAAAAAATATTAACGATAACAAGTTATATGATGCTGTATAGTGAAACATAACTTTTATTAGCGAACGTGCAAACGATAAACATGACATTAAATAATAATTTACCGTGAATCAATTGTTTTTTTTTATTTTGGTACATTGAGTTCATAGTAATTGAATACTAATAAATGCTTCTTGATCTCTCCATATTTACCTATTTATATATATAATTATTTGATATTTATGTGGTTGTCGATAACGTTAAACGAGCGTTTAAATCTTTTATCGGCCTTTAGCATCATGTGCTGTTTAACTTATTCAGTATAACTTCATGCTATTTTTAATTTCAATTCAAAGTTCTCAGCTTCTTTCTTGTGGGTAATTATAGTTGTGTATTCTTAGTTGGTATATTTTGGCGTTTTGTGTGTGGTTTTTATTAGTTTTATAAATCATTAAGTTTTTCAATATAATATTTTAAATTATTAATATGAATATTGTAAACATTTGAAAATGAATTGTTGAAGTTTGAAAATTATTATGTTAGTATAAATTGAGATACACGCACAATTACAAACGCAAGTAAACCTCACGTGTGTTAGTAATCGATCATCAAGTGATGAAAACGTCCCCAACTAACTAATTATTCAATAAAAATAAATTTTTCTTAAACATCTGCTTCACAACAAAAGTTTCAAATATTTTTAACGTTTTTTCAAATTTTTTTAAAAAATGGCAAATCTAGACATCTTTGGCCGTGTTGGCTAAAATGGAGCTCGTTGTACAGTTCTGTAGAGGGTCAGTGACAGATAACTGGCAAAATTTTAGAAGGTAACAGAGAACTGATAAGAAAATACCCTCCTCTTGTTAATAATATTGCTGAAAGGAGAGATATAAATTTCCTAAAAGTATGATTGTGCTGGCAATCCGGTTCAGACTGTGTTCGAAGTTTTTTAATCGCCGGCACTATATAATAATATATAACCAATAACTCTACATAACTATATATAAACCTATATAACCGTATATAAAAATATATAATAATATATAATCAATAACTCTACATAACTATATATAAATCTTTATAACCGTATATATAATCAATAACTCTACATAACTATATATAAATCTATATAACGGTATATAAAACTATATAGTAATATATAACTAATAAATCTACATAACTATATATAATTCTGAATAACCGCATATAACACTATATAATAATATATAACCAATAACTCTACATAACTATATATAAACCTATATAACGTATATAACACTATATAGTAATATATAACCAATAACTCTACATAACTATATATAAATCTATTTAACCGCATTTAAAATAATATATAACCAATAACTCTACATAACTTTATAAAAATCTATATAACCGTGTATAACACTATAAAATAATATATAAACAATAACTCTACATAACTATATATAAATCTATATAACCGCATTTAACACTATATAATAATATATAACCAATAACTCTACATAACTATATATAAATCTATATAACGTATATAACACTATATAGTAATATATAACGAATAACTCTACATAACTATATATAAATCTATTTAACCGCATTTAACACTATATAATAATATATAACCAATAACTCTACATAACTATATATGAACCTATATAACCGTATAACACTATATAATAATATATAACCAATAACTCTACATAACTATATATAAATCTATATAACCGTATATAACATTATATAATATATAATCTATAACTCTAAATAACTATATATATATATCTATATAACCGTGTATAACACAATATAATAATATATAACCAATAACTCTACATAACTATATATAAACCTATATAACCGTATATAACACTATATAATAATATATAACCAATAACTCTACATAACTATATATAAACCTATATAACCGTATAACACTATATAATAATATATAACCAATAACTCTACATAACTATATATAAATCTATATAACCGTATATAACATTATATAATATATAATCTATAACTCTAAATAACTATATATATATATCTATATAACCGCATATAACACTATATAATAATATAAAACTAATAACTCTACATTACTATATAAT